TCTCTCTCTCTCTCTCTCTCTCTCTCTCTCTCTCTCTCTCTCTCTCTCTTTCTCAGCAACTGGTTTTCATTGATTTTTTTACATTTCTGCATACAGAATTCTTACGTTAGTTCAAATATTTTGGGGCAGCCACTATTATTACCGTAAACAATTTGGCAGTTAAAATGAAAAAAGAATATACAAATGGAGATCATGCTATTATTTTTGTAAGATGGTGCAAAACATTTGTCGTATTTATCAAATAAACTCAAAAACAAACAAAATGTGGCAGTTCTATCTTGTGTTTTATACAAACTCGCTATTGCTACAATATATTCTTTTCACGTGAAAAAAGTTTTGTATACCTGATCCTTGTTTAAAACAATTATAGAAAAATTTACAAAAAGCTTTATTTAAAATAAAGAATTAATGACAACATTAATCAAAATAAAAGACAATACATTTTTTGCACTATCCTACTTACTCAAACAGCACAAAAAAACATCGTGTCTTAACTTTTATTATCTTGTAGACATTAAAAATGTCTTTAAAATAATAAGAGTTTTTAAGTCGTTCTTTAGAGACATATGCTGTCTGAGTAACTATATGTGGCAATATTAACTTGCCTTTGAAAAGTGGTACTAATCGTCCCCAGCATGTAATGGCACCCTTTCTGTTGAACTGACCAAGCGCAAGTTCCATGTAAAATAGAGGAATACCACCGACTACTAACATTATGCAATAGGGAACTAAAAATGCTCCTGTAAACAAAATAACAAATAAATTTAAAACACTCAGTTTTTTGCATACATAAGAAAGGAAAAATAGAACACGTTGATTACATAAACTATCAGGGAGTTACATGATTAATAACAATATCTTTTTATTATTTTATTTTCTCTTTAAAGTATCAATTATATTATCACAGTTTTAAAACTTTATGTACTGCATTTTATTTATGTACTAATCAAAACTTGTATATCATAGTATAGTAAATAAATAATATAGATTAGTTATACATATACATTATATATTTTCTTTTTTTCAGCAGAATACTTTTATAATTTTTTGAAACATTATTTTGTGTGTACATATGTATGTGTGTCATAACCATAAAAAATCTTTCAATTATTATTGATCTATAACAATGTAATTTTTAATTGATTATGTTACTTCAAGTTTTTAATATAAATTGATCAAATAAGATCTTATTATTCTTCAATCAATCGCTCGTGAAATAGTAAAAATTATTTAAACAAAAGGCCGATACAAGCAGTAAAATACATTATTATTATACACGACCAACCTGTATTTTACTGCTCGTATCGGCCTTTTGTTTAAATAATTTTGCTTATTATTCTTCTGCTGATAGAACTATCTAGACAAATGTAAAACATTCTTGAATCTTTTGATACACAAAAAGAACCTGGTTTATGTAACATTGGTGAATAAGATACTAAGAGAATAAAGGATAAGCAAAACAATCGCAGCAGATAAAGGCGAGTACATTAGAATATACGATACTTGATAGATGTCAAAAGCAGTATATAATTAGGTATATACAATATATGCTTGTAATAAAACCTGAATTTTTTTATTTATTTTTTAAAATGTATTTAAAATACTCCAAAAGTCTTTTTATATCATTGATATCGAAAATATTAGAAATAGGATAACGTATAAGTTTTACTTATTATAATTACAAAGTTTATTATAAATTAATAAAGAATCTTTTAGGCTTCAAAGTTTCTAAATTAAGAATTGTATAGACCGTCTATACATTTCTTAGTTTATTATAAATATTTTTTCAAAGACAGAATATTAAAAACAATGTTTGAAACTTATTCAACAATTTTGTACAGAAAAGCTTATTTATATCTCCCATTGGCTTAACGATTGACTCAGTCATATCACCGTGTTAATGTCACCTTGCCGCATTTCCGAAAGTTGAATATCGAATTATGTGCCTAAAAGCATCTCGCTACTGGTGCTTTAAATAACGCACAATGCAGTTATGGAACTAGCCCGTTGCTAGGAGAGCATCATATATCACGTTTTTTCACTGGTCGTTTTTCTGGAAGAGTAGAGTCTATGTGTTTTTATCTTTTTTGCTTATATAGTTTCTATGTATATGTCATACATGTAAAGTGAGAGAGAAATAGAGAAACAAAGAGATATATTTTATATATTTATTACTTTTTATTATTTTATATATTTTATTACTTTAAATTATGTACATAAATATATACATATATTCTTATATACATATATATGTACATATATTCTTTGTATATATACATATATTCTTTTTTATTGCGAATTTTAATTATTACTGCACGTATCGATTAATGACAAAACAAATAATCAAAAGAAGAAGACAGTAAGATTACCGCTATTACTTATTTCCTTGATCTTCTTTCTTAGCTCTATCGGAATTTTCGTTTCGTTACCCATGGAGATGTAATCGCATTATGGAGGATATTGTGTCGTTGAGCAACCTTGATTAATTTCCTCTCGTTCCTACTACAGTACAAATGTACAAATCATCTATTGAGCATATTTAAAAAATATATATTTTTTTTAAGTTGCTCGTCTTAATTAATTATGCAAAACTTCTATTATCATATTAATAATTAAAATTAGGAAATCTACATATACAATATTAGGCTTATATATTTATTTACACTTGTACATTTAATATAGAATATTTTATCTACACATTTGTTATTCAGCATATCTTTCTCTCTTTCTCTCAAATTATTATATACAACCTGAGCTATTGTTACATTGACAGCTAGAATTAAATTAATAGCACACGCGCGCGTAGATGTAAGTATAATTTATAAATACAATTTACTAAGTATTTGATAAGTAGTATGATTGTTTTGATTTAGAAAACAAATGTATAATAATTACACATTTCTCGAGGAAAAATAAAAACTTCTTCAACAAACTTATCAAAATAGTACGACGCAATAATATCTGTTTTTTTACCGCATAATAATGGATTACACTCAATTGTTCATACTTAGTCAGATATGTTATAGGTGTTCACTAGTTTATATTAATAGAAAATATGCATAATACAAGATGTAATGAAAATCAGCTCTTCTTTGTACCTACTAGTCTCTCTTCTCTCTCTCTCTCTCTCTCTCTCTCTCTCTCTCTCTCTCTCTCTTCTCTCTCTCTTTTTCTCGTGACAAGCGGTTTCCTTTTATAAAAAATATTACGTAAATCCGTTCGATTCTATTTAGATTATTGTTTCGCTAATACCGTCAAACCGGTCTAGAATTTTGATTAGCATTTATTAGTAACATATATTCAAGCGAGACGATGTCACGTTTCTTAATAACCACAAATTGATGCAATGGTTGCATCGATTAGTGATTATTGAGAAACAAGGAAACAAGAATCAAGAAGTTTGCAAATAAATTTCCGCGAAGAGAAACAATCTTCTTGACGAAATCACTGGTTTGATAAATATTAAAAAGGAAAAATGTCAAATGCAACATCTTCAATGTTGTATACTTATCTTTAAGTATTGTTTGTTGTAAAACAAACGTTTCAACTGTAATTTTCTACTCCTGATTTCTCCTTTAATGCTAACTATTTGAAATTTTGTTTCTTTTTTCTCTTTTTCTTATATAGAATATTAATATTATATAAAATATTTATAGTATAATTGATTTTACACTTTTTCTAAAAACGATAAAACTACAAGATAAACTTGATAAACTCGCTAATTGTTGAATAATTTACAGAATGCGTGCTTCTCTTACACACAATATCCGTTCTAATCTTAATTATCGAAATTTGTTTTTATTTAAATAAAATTTTGAGCAAGCGCTTTCTGTAGAGAATGACCATATAATGATGTAACATTATATAATAAATCACAAATGGCAGACAACTGATACAGGATGATATGTATCAATATGTACGTTACTCTGAATTATAATTATGAAACAACACGTTAATAGCGCCTATTCTAGAGTGATAACGATGCAGTCATCATTCTATAAGGTGGAGAGAACTGCACGCACATTCATGATCAAAGGCCCATTTCCCGAATAGGAAATTATAATTAATTAAGGTAATTGGAAATTAGCGACCGATCTTGCCCATCCTAATGGCACGGAGCCGCGTACTCTGCTGTACTCTTAATTGAGTTAGTAGCCGCTTTTGAGAAGCCTCTGTATCACTGACAGTGACCCTAATCGTATTCCTACCGAGAACTCGATACTATAACGGCGGTACTATAGTACCGGTACTATAACGGCGTCATCGTCACAGTCATTGTTGCTGTCGTTAATGTTGCTATAGTAAGCTTAGCAAGTCAAGAAGATGGCTGGTTTTTTTTGTTTTTCTAGAGAGAGAGAAAGAGAGAATTTAAAAAAAGTATATCTTTATAAGAGAACCTCGCAAACTCGAAAATCTTAATTTTGATAAAACTTTGCACACATGTAAGGGGAATTAATAGATGAATATACATTTTTTGTTGCTATCCAAAAACAGTTTTAAAAGACTTTTTTCACAAATTCATAAAACAAAATTTTTAAAAACAATTTTATTAATGTAGATAAATAGAGATAGTTTAACTAAAAAACTTTTGTATAAAACATTTTTTATTATTTCTAATAATTTTTGAGATAAATTAAGAAAAGTGAAAAGCCACTTTATATATAAAAAGTGATTTTGCCTCTTAAAACCGTTTGTAGATTGCAACAAAAAAAGTCAATATTTAACTATTGACTCCTACATGTATGCACAGTCTTTATTAAAAATGAATTATATATATATAAACAACTCTCTGAAGTAACTAAGAATTTAAAAACAACTCTCTCTTCCAGATTCAATACAGATGTCGTGTACAAAAAAATAAACAAGTAAATAATGTTACAATTGTTATATGTTTTAAATGTTATTGTTAAAATTGTAAATTGTATATTATTTATTGACATATAACCAACTTTACAATTTAAAAAATTATATCTCTGATATTCGTACATCGATGGTAGTTAGCGTAATTTAAGTTGATTTTAAATTTGTTGGAAAAAGTTCATATATGTATTGTATCTTCCACAACATGCTGTTTCGTGTAAATTTATCTTTCTCTCTAATTGCAATCATGTTGAACACCTGCAGTTGGTTTTACATTATGAAAAATCTTTATTAAACGAAATCTAAATCCCGAGGTCATTTTCCACGAGGTAAATGCCAATTAAGTCGACCAGTTAACGCGGTATTGCTTGCTTGCTAGAGCATATTACTCACCAACGCGTAACATCCAACTTTTCTGAGTTAACTATAAATAAAATGAAGTCCGACGATGTTACAAGAAAAGAACTGACGAAGTTCTCTTCTTCCAGAAAAAGTTTTTCTCTGAGCTAACATATATATATACATATATATACATACATACATACATACATATAGTATATGTATATATATACATATAATATTTAAAAATATTAGTTATAAAAAATTTAGAATAAAAATAAAGCTATCTACAGACACGTGTGAAAAATATTACTTTTGTATTATTATACATGTTTATATAAAAAAATTAATCACATACGATGTTTTAGAAAATATTTGCTCAGACACACATAACAAAATTGTATCTCATTATGTTCGTTATTTATGACAAACGCAAGTGGATGATATGTAAAAAACTAAATTATTAAAATCACATATTATATTCCTACCATTGCATGTGCCGTCAATGACAGAGAAAAACCCTTGATTCGCGCGCGAAATAAACAAAAATAAATTGTGCGGAAATTGCGAGAGCGCGTTGAGATGTACTTACCGCCACCGTTTTTATAGCAAAGGTATGGAAATCGCCACACATTAGCGAGATCAACGGCAAAACCGATTACTGACAGCAGGAAATCGAGCTTTCCCGACCAAGTCTCTCTACTATCGGCACCACCGCCGTTGCTGTCACTCTTTGCAGGATTTTTTATCACTGTCGACGACATCTTTCCGCTATCTACAAAAACCGATAACAATTCACAATATATGTAAACCGCAAGCAATATTTTATTTAACTTTACGTTCCAATATTATTATTTTATTAATATGTTTGTAGCAATTACACAAAAGATGTAAGCATATGAAAATAAATAATATATACTGAAGATATTTTAAGAAAGCGTTATCTTTTAGCTAAGTTCCAACTTTCCTACATCAAAAATATTATTTTTTTGAAAAAGTTTTCTTAATATAAAATAAAAGACAAATATAAACCAAATAATAGAATCGAATTCAAGTAACGTACAGTTTTCTTAAAATTTAAAAAAATATATATTTTACAAAGTAAATTTAATCTAAAATGAGCGTAGATATGAGGAGTTTTCTCGAGTTCGAAATGGATAATCCACATATTATTAGGATAATTAATCAGCTTATTTGAACCAAATGGTATTATGCAATACAAAATATTATGCAATCAATTGAGTCTTGGTTGATCGAAACGTTTCGACTTTTATAAATTTAATCTATTTATGTACATTAATCAATGTAAATCTTAAACACAATTCATAAATATTGTGCGCAATATTAGATGCAAGGTCACGTCTGTGCAAGAAACGGCAACAATCGAGAGAAAGGAAAACAAGTGGAACTAACAAGAATGAAGAAACTGCGAAGAACGATAATGTAGTGAGAAGACACCTAGCAATTTTTAATGACGCGTGCGTGCGTGCGTGCGCGTGTGCGTGCGCGAGTGCATGCGCATTCGTCACTATATGTATATGAGAGCGCGAGAAGCATGTCGCGTGCTCGTGTAATTTGGCGACGACAAGTTATCGATAGCCCTTCAAGCGACAACGCTCAACCCCCAACGAGCCTCATTGTACCCCGTGACGGGTACCGGTCAAACAGCGGCATATTTCAAAGGCGATCGCGGGCGATCCAGACTCGAGGAGCCACTCAACGAGGGGTTTTCTGTCACGTACACTGATCCACGCTTATCCACAACCGACCTGGTTAATTGATATTCGGCTGTTACGAAGATATATATGAATGTACACACGTAAACTAATGCAAAAAATATACGAAAACAAAAAATCATAACGTTAGATATTTTATTAGAAAACTAATTTTTTCTCTGACTGTTTCATAGATTTATTTTTAAGATGAAAAAAAGTTGGAGTCTCTGCACAACTGAGATTAGTAAGCATAAAGGGATCAATAATAAAATCAATATTATCTAAACTATCTACAAATGCGCAAATACAATAACAAAGAAGAAAAAACTATAATAAAAAATATGTATATTTATACCATTATATAAGGCTTTACGAGCTGTGTCTAAGATGTCGAGCGAAAACTGTACACAGCGCGTCAAAAATTTGTGAAGTAGGTGTGGAGATCTAGGAGCAAAAGGGGCGGTTTTTCTTAGGGATAAATAATGCGACACAGTTGTGGATAAACGATTGTTACTAGTTAGCTGTTACAGTGCTCGTTGGTGCTATTTATTCCTAAGAGAAACCGCTTCTTTTGCCTCTAGACTTTTGCCTCGCGTTTACTCCGCGAATTTTTGACGCGTTGTGTACGTGTATATATATATGTATATATGCATACACATGTAACAAGTTCAACTTGTAAATTTTAATAAGTGTATTTTAATAAGTGTGAGTATTTTTTGAATTGATATCTCAATTCTTAAATTCATACGAGATGCTGGATTTACATCTCACATATGACAGACTCCGAATACCCCCCTAACTAATTTCAAGGTTCGACTCCTGGCCGAACCTGGAGAAGTTTTTTTTCACAATATTTTAAAATTAGTTGGGGGAGTATCCGCCCAGATAACCAAGATTGAATGAGCATATTTTGCAAAATCTGCAATAACACATTATGCCAGTACAATGTAGCCAGCATTCAAACATAATCTGTTATTTCAACTAGTGTCGACAGAAAAACAGAAAAAAAGAGACTATAAATGTGTCATGCCATAATGCAAATATTATTGCATCAATCACGCAGAACTTGCTCAAAAAAATGTAGCAGATTTGAAACATAACGTGTTATTGTCATTTAATTCTTTATTTATTTCTATATTTTTGCTGTGTTGTTTTCTTTACATATCGTGCCTACATAATTCACTCACTATGAGGACACAGCTGAGTGGAATCTGTAAAGTGCTGATTAAACCTGCGTGCATACTGCTGGCATACTGCTATCATTTGGCTATCGGGGCGGGGTCTGTCATATGTGAGATGCAAATCCGGCATCCCGTATGAATTTAAGAATTGAGATATCAATTTGAAATATCAAAAAATACTTGAAAAAATTTACAAGTTGAACTTGTTACATATGTATGCATATATACATATATATATATATATATATACGTACAGTTTCCGCTCAACATCTTGGAAACAGCTCGTAAGGCCTTATATATTGGTTTAACTTTCAACGAGCCTTAAAAAAAAAAATTATATGTATATTTATATATATATATACTTAATAATAACAAAAATGATTCGGTCTAAATTCTGATATGTATTTATATATGTATTCACAAATATATAAATAACAATAAGAAGAAAAAAACGTTAATAATGTTAATAATAATAATTATTATTATTATAATTATACTAAGAAAACCGATTTTAATCTTTTTGGTTGGACTGGCCGTACTCATATACTTCAGAACAATATCTTGTCGCGTTAGTTTTTTTTTAACAATATTTGGGTAACAATATAATTTAAAACAAAAGATAAGCTGTTATCTTAAGATATGAACTCAATGCGTTGAAAAATATCACCTATTATATACCTCCTAAAACATTATCAACTATTATATAACTATTCAGTATTCGGTTTAGCGACGGATGACTCTGCAAACATTTTGAACCGTTTTGATTTGACATTAAACGAATATCGTAACAATTTTTATTTTTTATCTTTAAAACAAAAATATGAAATATCAAATCATATGTGGCACATGAAATCTTTAGTGATGTTTTGATTAATTGTATATAGATACAGGCTTTGCTTTTAATTTATGAGATATTCAGTTTTATTAGAAATTTTTTTAATATACTCTAGAATTCTCTTAATTATTAATAATTCTTTTAATAATTTTTTTAATTTTTTAAAATAATTTTCTTAATTGTTATTATTTATTGTTATTGTTATTATTTATTAATTGATGAAAATCAGTAAAAGTACAAACAATACTATTTTTTATTAAAAAAATATATTTAATTATTTAACATCTTAATATATGTTATATTATTTAACATCTTTATTTATTTCACTTTTCGTTAATTACAATTGTGTTTGATACTATATACGCCAAAATAAATCGTTCTTATTATAAATAATAAAATATTATTGCGTCTACTTTCTTTAAATACTTTTAGTTCTTAGTACAAGTACTCTTTCATATTTTTTCCTTTAATCAATATAACACTTGTTATTTTTCTTCTGAATAAAAGAAATAGGTAGAAGATAAGTATCAGATAAACAGTAAAAACTTTTTTTTCAATATTTTATGGTAACAAATATTTGTCACACACGCGCACACACACACACACACACACACACACACACACACACACACACACACACACACACACCATATAACAAATTTAGGTACCGAAAAAATTAGATCTACGTGTCTTTTCTCGCCTCAGCAAGAGCTAGCTTTTCTTTCTATGTTTAGCAAAAAAATTCACCAAGTTGAGAAGGAGCACTTTACACCGATAAGAACAAACAATGGTGTAGCAGCTAATTGTTCAAATAGTTAAATAAATATAACAACTGCAATAACATAATATAGTCAGCGAATATAACGATAGCGGAGGAAAGGAATTGTTTTCTGTAACCGCATAGAATCGAAGAAACTAATGACAATTCACAAAGGAAGTTTTACACTTAGTTTGAAATTTTTCTGCCATATATGATAACATAATACTAATTTTGTTTTAAATAGAAATTGAATCTTTAATAATTAATATTCAAATAACAGAAATATATAGTCGGTAATAAGAGCCGTTCGCTGAATGCTGTGCGGAAATATACATGTATGTATTCATATTTCCGCACAACATTTAGCGAACGGCTCTTATTACCGTCTATATATTTCTAGTTTAAACTTCAGAGCCTAAAGATTTTCTAATTGTTCAAATAACAGCTCTATAAAATAAATTAAAAAAAGAAAAGGAAAAAGAGCCTATAGTCCAAGTTATGAATAATCAAAACAAAACGCCGTGTATTCCGAACGTTTGATCAAATTTTATTGGTGATCATCTTTAGCACTGTATACAATGTAAAAAATAATAGAATAGATAGGAGGTCTCACCGAGACATGAACTCGGATCGCTAGATTTAGAGTTCAAAGTGCTCGGTGGGATCTCCTATCTATTCTATTATTTTTTACATTGTATACAGTGCTAAAGATTATCACCAAAAAAATTTGATCAAAACGTCCGCAATACACTACGTTTTAAGTTGTTTTGGTTGTCCATCTTCAACTTGGACCATAGGCTCTTTGATTCTGTTTTTTTCTTTGAATCTTCAAGCCGTTTTACTTATTTAATGTGCTTTGTTACAAATGATTTCAAGAAGCGCATCTTCGTGATATAATTTATAATTTCTTTAAAAATATATACATATAAGCGTATGCGATTTTAGAATCCCTTGTAAAAATGTTTAAAAAATGTGTATTATCAATACGAAAACATCTATTTTATTTTTTGATTTTATATCTAAAGATATTGAAATCAAATAGCATATAATAACATTGTGTACTTACCAAATATCGAAACGCCAAAGATGACTAACGAGCAACGATGAGGCCGTGAGTGTTGCAGCTCAAGAAGACACCGCGACACTGACCACGCGACTGTTTGGTCCACGACAAAACTCCTACGACGAAGACTCGCCAAAGAGTCAGAAGTAGTTCGAAACTGGTATCCGTCAAACCCATACCCGTAGTTAGTCTATTGTCTTTTGCTTTTTTACTGTTCTATCTCCGGTCTTCGTTTCGCGCGCTCAAGTTTCAAAATTTTTAGTAGTCTCTTTTTAGTAGTAAAAAAGAATAAAACGATTTTAGTAATCCACAGATGCGCGCGCTTATGTCTTCGCTCAAGCGATTCGTTCCATTCGAAAAAGACCGCACATTATACGCGCAAACGTGTCTTTATTAAAGTTGAAAAGAATTTAAAGACGCTTCAAATATGAGATGTACATCATATCAATAAAAAAGGGCATATTCTTTTAAAAACAAATCACGTTTTTTATGTTCTCTCTCTCTCTCTCTCTCTCTCTCTCTCCTCTCTCTCTCTCTCTCTTTCACAATTACATGACATTTATAATAAAATAAATCGGGATTTTACGATTATAGAAAAAAAAAAGAGTTTGGAACGCAAAGATGCAATCTCGGCACAAACAGAAGAACCTTGTCGTAAAAGATCGGAAGAGTAAATGACGAATCTTAGCGCCTGTGTCAATGCGCATATATATCCACCACGATCACGTGGTATCACGCGTGCGCTTCGCTTCTTCTCTCTTTCTTTCTCTCTCTCTCTCTCTCTCTCTCTCTCTCTCTCTCTCTCTCTCTC